AGCCGGGTCCCCCAGGCCGCAGGGCTGCCAGCCTTGCCCTCCCCGCAGAGGAGGAGCGGTTGGCCCACACCGCGCTGGCACCCGGCACGGTGGGAGAAACCGAGGGTTGGGGTCATCTTTGTCATGTGGTGCCATGCTGGGAGAGGGAGACCAGTGCTCTGACCTAGGGCTAGGAGCAGCTGGGTAGCTTTTCCCATAGCCTCTGTCTACATGGGTACTTCTGCACACAACTGTCTTAAAACAACCTTTTTTTTTAGTCAATAAACACCATGCATCAGAACTGCGCTGTGCTTTCCTTCTGGGGCAGGCGGGGAGCCCAGCCCCGTGGGCTAGACCTTACTCTCAGGTCCAGGGTGCTGTGCACTCACCGGTGCGTTTTGGGAGCTGGCAGTTGCGGTTTGTCTCGTCCCCTAGAAATTAAATGTGAGATTTACCTTGATTCTGTGTTGTACAGCTCAAAAGCTTGTCTGTGCCTTCTGGCAGGCAGTCGAGCTCCCCTGAAGACTCAGTGGCCAGAAGCTGCTGCTGTCTGATGCAAGGGAAAAACAGTCTTATGAGCCAAAAGGACGGTCCCCTTTGTCACACCTTCCCCAGCAGCATCCTGCGGGAGCTGCATGCCTGGCCCCGAGCCTGGCCCGTTGGTGGGGCTGGGGGGGCAATAGGGAGGGGGAAAGGACGGGGGGGTGGCAGGGCTAGGGGGAGCAGGAACGATGCTCTCCTGCGGGCTGTGGCTGTGCCAGACATCAGCCGCAGGCTGTGCTCTGCTCCCCTGGGAGCCCAGGACCTGCACGGCCCTCCTGGCCCTCTTCAGTGCCTGAGAAAGAGGAGGCAGCATTTGCAGGGCACAGGATGAAGGCAGCTGGCACCAGCCCCAGTCCCCAGTCTGCCTACCCCAGGTAGCAGCTGCATTGACCTGCAGCTGAGTGGGCTTGTGTCCATCCTCAGTCCATTTTTCCAGGGGAGAGACGTGTGGAGGGACGAGATACATCCTACCTCTCCCCTGGGAGACAGACTTTAGCGTTTGTCTTTTTGCTGGCTCAGAAACAGTTTTGGAGATTTTTCTTTGGGGCTTTTGGGTGCCACAGCAGCTTCCCTGGTGGGGACAGAGGCTGGATGGACATGGAGCTGGCCCCGGGCGCTGCCACCGTCATCCCTGGCCAAGGGAGCCAACCCAGCTCCCTGCAACCTAGGTGCCCAGTGAGCCAAAGCTTAGAGCCAAAGCTGAGGTCATGGTGTCGCAGTGAACTGAGCCCCTTCCCAGCTCCCAGCCTGCTTCCTACTGGAGCTGTGGTCGTCTCATAGCACCAGCCACGTCCTGAGCTGCCCTTTGCCGAGGACCATCTCTTGGTCAGCAAGCTCTCAAGGGGTCTCAGCTTGGATTTTGGTTAGGGATGCTCAAACGTCCATTCCTGTCCTGTTAGGGATGGGAGAGAGAAAAGAGCCAGACCCTCTTCAGTGGTGCCCAGAGGCAATAGGCACAAACTGAAATAAAGGACATTTAATTTAAACATAAGAAGAAGCTTTTTTGCTCGGAAGGTGGCCATATGCTGAAGCAGGTTGCCTGGAGAGGCTGTGGAGTCTCCATCCATGATATTCAAAACTCGACGGGACACAGCCCTGAGCAACCTGCTCTAGCTGACCCGGCTTTGAGCAGGAGGGTTGGACTAGACGGTCTCCAGAGGTCCCTTCCAACCTCAGTGATCAGCTCACCTCATGGTGGCAAAGAGCGCTCACCTTTCAACGTGGAGGGTCCAGCAGGTACATGCCACGTCCATCTCCAGAGGTTTGCTCCAGCTGTGCCCTGGCAGAGGGCAACAGCCTTCTCCAGTAACAGATCTGCTTCAAGAGCTCTGAAATGGGCAGAGAGAAAGGGAACAGAGCTCTCCTGCCAAGCAAAGCCACTCGTCACCTAGAGAGGGGCTGAAACCCTGCAGTGAGACACAGAGGTGGTCCTAGCCTGCCACGCTCAGCCTGCCTGAGGCGCCGAGCCCACGCAGCCCATGCCCCTGAGCCCCAGCAGGGCACGCATGAGCTCAGGATAGGTAGGTCATGGAGAAACTCTTGGAGGATGCTGCCAAGAGGGTATAACAGCCTGGACGCTGCTGAAGCGGATCCTCGCTCCCAAGCCTCCTCTGGGGGAACAGTGTCAGCCAGGAGGCTTACACTAGTTATTGCCTCTTGAGATATAGCAGAGCGCAAGCTTGCTGCAGCGATCGTGGTGGGTACTGGGGGGCAGGCAGAACTGGCTTCTGTGCCACAGACAGGAGCAGAATTACACGTGTATGGGAGGACGGTGTTGAAGCCCTCCCTTTTCACCCCACCACTGATTCACTAGGCTGAAAGGAAGTAATTTTGAAAGGAGGTGCAGGCAGAGGAAGCCCCTTTGCCTGAGGTGACCGAGCAGAGCCAAGGCTTGCTCCACCTTCCAGGTCACACTTTCAACGGCAGGAGCAGGGAGCCAGGGACAGGCCCAGCCTCCCTACAGAAAACCATCCAGATACCGCACAGTTTGGATCCTGAGAGATACACAAGGCTCTTGAGTAACAAATTGCCAGTCAAAATCCAGTAGCGAGAGTAGTTAAAATGTCCCTTTATTAATATACAAACCGAGCAACATTGAAGCCAACCAAAAATATTAAATGAAGTAAAGCATGATATAAATACAGCATATATAATAACATGGCCTCAGTGGACAGCAGCAAGCTCACCCTTATTTGTGCGCTTGGGAACAATTGTCCATGTCCCCCCCCAACTGGGTCCAATAATCAAAGCAGCTTCTGTCTCTCCATAAACCCCTTCCAATTCAAAACCAACAGAAGTGAGGCTACTGCTCCTCACAAAGGCAGACTATGCGGCGCGATACTGTACAATCTAACATTACGTCGATCCCAAAGTTCAAACGGATTAAAAAGCATCACTGTACTGCCCGAAATGATCTGTTGGTGTTTGCTTGCTGAGACCCTGCACGGGGAGAGGGACGTGTTTGTAGTGGGTCAGGAATTATGTTCCTGAAGTTGCTCCTTGCTCTGTCCCATCTCAGTTACATCAATTGCACAACATTCACAAGAATAAGGCACTAGAAAATATTTTCACAGGTTCAAGCTTCAGTTGTTCTTAAAATTTATGCGGTAGAATATTTTAGAAGTCCTCCCAGCCCTTTAACATCAGCTCTCAGGAGACTGCTAAAAGCACCAAGCGACTTTGGGCAACCAAGGTGCATCTGATACTCAGATAAATTATCAGCTGAGAAGGGATGTCCAGTACTGTGTGCGGTTCGCAAGATGGCAGTCTCTGCTCAGGAGACTAACATCCTACACTGGACATCTGTCAAAGAACGGGAAGTGCTTCTCCCACACAACTCAGGTCTCCTCCAAAAGCAGCGTCAACGGCAGTGGGAGCCGTCACACACGCACAGCCAGGAGCAGAACGGAAAGTGGCAAAAAGAAAGCACGCTGTCTTAAGAGCAGCAAGGAATCGATCTGGGCCACATCTTGCTAAAAGGGGCTTTCCCAAACTGTTAGTAAAGAGCCACAAAACGTTGTTATCATTCAGCTGACCGGGAGGCAGTAGGCTCAGTAGCAGAAGTAGGCTTGCTTCCCCCAAATGCAGCTTGCGTCCTTTGTCTTGCAGAAGATCATACAGGATATCAGACACCTACCCTGCTATAATTCTGACCATCACAGATGCAAACGAATCAGCCAGCGACTTCAGGAAAATCCATCTGCCTCAGATTACATCGCTAGCGTAGGGATAAAGGTATAAATGTAACTCGTCTCACCACAGGAAAGCCAGATTTTGGCCTCACATAGGAAAAACTATTTGTAGCACGGAAGAAATCCCAACTGTGCCACAGTGAAAGGCTAAAGTTTAGGACTTTTCTTTGTAGATACAAAATGGAATAATTCACTAGTTGGGCTGGCTGACAGCTCCGAGTAACTACTAAACTTGCAGGCACCAAGTGTTTGTGTGGGAAGATCAGTTCTTATCAGTATCAACAAATTAATAAACATGACCGTGAACACCTTTCTCGAGTGCCTCTTTCCTTATAATTTCCCACTCCTCTTCATGAAGACACCTTATTTTGAACAGGCAATACTTTTGGAACAAAGCTTAGTTTGTCATACCTGCAGAGAAGTGGTATGTTTTACACTGTCACTCAAAAGCAAACCTGACATTAGCCATACAAAAGAGTTTTAAAACAAACAGGAGATGAGAAGTCTCAGAGTCATCTGAACAAACGCTAAGGGCAACACAAAAAGATCCCCACTGCTGAAAAAGCCTTAGCTCCCACATTTCCTGACTCAGGTCTGCAAATGTTAGCTAATACAGCAAAGAAAGCATTCAAGCAGAGAATTTTGTTTCCTTTAATGCCACGAGACACTCGTACTCTAAACCAACCAGGGCTTCTTCCTTTAAGCAAAGGATAAAACCCACTACAGCATGAGCAATATACTGAATAAATACATTTCTGGGAAAAAGGGGAACATGTGTCAGCACAAACAAGTCGCACAGGCACAGAAACGGTGCATTTACACAGGGTCTCCCAACGGATTTATCTCAGGTCAAGACAAACGCCAGTCTGCAGATGAGCAACGTACTAGAACATTAGCTTCCACCCTCCCCAGTGTTTTCTCAAAAATATCTGCTGACATTTGTATCTGCTCTGTACGTTCAGAGCACCGACCTTCAGTAAGAAATCAAATGGCACATACCATCAGTGCACACGTACCTAACCTAAAGCTTTAAGGCATTTACAAATATTCCAAGTTTTTCCCTCATCTAACGCAAAGACTAGTCTTGCTGAGGGTTAGAAGCACGCTGCAATTACAATGTTTTAAGAAAAGTTTAAAGTGCAAAGAAAATTTCCAAATGCCTTCTGCAGACAGGTGGAAGCGGTCTGATGACATTAACCCCTTCCTCCCCCAGCCCCGCTCCCTGCCTCCATTAAAAACAAACAAACAAAAACAAACTAACAATGGCTTAAGGAAAAGGTAGTTTAAAACAGAAATACATCCCAAACTGGTCTAAAATTAACCTGAACAGGTACTATAATAAAATCATTTGGTAGGACAAATCTGAAGATTGTGAACTTTTTGCTCAACTTTACCAGTGGCTAGAAACTTTACTAGTGGCTTTGAAACTAGAAAGAATTCTGTGTTTGCAAGTAACTTTCTTTTTCAAACATGGAAACTACTTTGTTTGTAGAGTTCTTCACGAAAAAGAGACCTTTCAGTTAAAGCGGGATGGAAGGCGAAGGCTAGCTCTGGGCATGCAACTGTCAATGCTGTACATTTGCAGTTAGACGCTACCTGCAAGAACGTGCCAAAGAGACAAGTACTTCAAGCAATCTGCTACACAAATTCACCACTGCCTCCAGTTTGGCGTGCTTACTTTCTTCTGAATGAAAAGTGATAGAGCGAAACTTATGTTGGAAAACAGATGCCACTGCCATTCTTGTTTCCTAGATAACGCTGTCCTGATTCTGTCTATAGTCATAGCTATCACTCACAGTGTGTGGCCAGCACTAAGTCTGCAGAGCTTTGCAGAGCAACACGTTTCCTGAGCGGGAAATCATGGCTGGTAGTCTCTCCAAGACCGGTCTTAAGTGGTTGAGGATGAGTAATGGACAAAGGACGCAACTGCAATCATGCCTCTCCTTCCCTCTCACCTCATCTGGTTTCCATCCCCCTTTCTGTTTCTACCTCGTCGTGCCCTGCTCTCAGAGTGGCAAAAGGAATTAATGTGCTCCACCAGCAGAGGAAGGACATTAAAAAGGTGTTAAGGACAGCAGGAAAATACTAGCACAGGAAGAAGGCAGGGTTAAACAGTGGAAGCATGGCCTATATTACAGAAGGTGGCGGGAACAGAATGAAAAGGTTGAGGCTGTTAAAAAGATCTCTTTTTGGCATCCCCAGATGCCTCTTTTATTGTGCCTGCGCCAGTAGAGAGGCTGCATGCTGGACTGAATCAAGCAACCGATATGATTAAAAGAATTTCCAGGTTACTTTTCACCTCGACCAGGTCTCAGTCCAGGTTGCCACACAATGAGTTCTGCAGCCGCCGGGGAAGAGGTTTGCAGGGTAAAGCAGCTCGGAGCAGGGCCTGCTGGAGCAGGTGACAGCAGCCACAAATCCACATGGGAGTCACGACACTGGTATCCGCAGCATCGAAAAGTTGAAGAGCTTAAGCTTGACACAAAGAGACAGATTTAGAGCAAACCTAGCTCAGATGATGAAGCACCAGGTAGAACGAAGAGGGGAACCTTGCTCACAAGAGGATCTACAACAGCCACAGGCTGGAATTAAGAGGTGTTACAGAAAAAGCAACAAGCACTAAGACAGCTTGAACGCTACAGCAGAAAGGAGGAATACAAGCTTCCACTTCATCTCCAAGTCTTGGTGCAAGTACTGCATAGCCTCCCCTCCTTGCCACAAAATAAAAAGAAGAAACTGCCCATCAAGTCACATCAAATCTGGACACTGGGAGTCAGCACAGAGAAAAGACAAAGAAAATAAGTCTGGCAAAGTTAGATGTGAAAAAAATCACTGTAATACACCTTCCTGAAACAGAAAACATCATTCCTAAATAGACAGCTTTAGTTTTATCCTCAGATCATTAAATATGAACAATAGAGTCCTTCTCTAATACAGATTTTACTCAAGTCTTTCAGCACCCACTCAAGGAATCGACAAAACGCGACAGCTTAGGGAGGGATGTAACATTATGTGAGTTACGTGAGGTACTAACAGGCACCCATAAATTAGGAAAAGCAAGGAATGTAACTGATTGTAGCTTAAAAGATACTTCAAGAAGGAATGGTTGTTAGGGGACAACATGCTGCTAACTTTTCAGTTTGGTCTTAACTAGTCATAACTCTCCAGAGAACAAACTGAACGGTTTAAGCTAACATCTCTCGTCAGCAGCTGCATTAAGTACTCTAGCTTGCCTCAGAAATACACTTTATTTTCTCCTGAAGAACTATCATGTCTCACCAGTGACAACAAATGACCAATAAATGCTAATCTGAAGGGCCGCTCTAAGACACATCCTAAGTGGCAAGTATAAAACTCTTTCTTTGGTCTATCACCTCTTTGCCTGGATAAGGAAGGCACAGCAATGTCCCATGTAACAGGCAGAGAGAGGAGAGAACCAACAAGTGTTTTTGAGACCTTGTGCATTCTTCCCACCTAACATGCTGGTAGAGCAGAGGCCCTCTTTGGTACACATACCCAGGATGGAAATAGCGGGATTGTAATATCTAGGAGGAAGGACAGGAAAAAAGTGATTCTGGACTTTAACTTGCTATTAGATGCCTTATGACGCTTTAGGTGAAACAGGCCATTAATCCTGACATGGCAGGCAGAAGTTCAATTCAGACAGCAGTAACAGAGGAATTTGGAAGGAATGACACTCAAGTTGAATCTCCACCTTCTACAGTCATGTGGCCATCTCTTTCCTGTGAGCTCTCAAACTGCTATCCTACCATAGTCACTGCACTTCAAAGGTAGGGGAATTTTTACAAACCAATTTGAAAACAAGTTTGAAATCCTTAACGATGACACACACTACAAAGGAATCCACTATTTACAAAGGAGAGCATGCGCAAAGAGGTGACATCCATGTTCAACGTATTACATCTCCTGTCACCAGATGCTTGAATCCTTAATTCTCTTTTCATCTTACACCCTTTCCCCAGTTCTTCATTCCTAGGTTGCACAGCTTCTTTATCACGCTGCATGGGGGAGCTTGCTCTGACAACCTATTATAAGGCGTAAAGGTTTTGGACTTTCACCTCTTCTGCCTTTAAAGCCATCCAACCCCCTTTGTATACTGAGAACGTCTAGCTCATAAGTACTGCATACTGGCAGATCCGACTCAACTCAAGGCATGATCTGAAGCAATTGAAACAGTAGGAAACAAACTTAAAACAACAAGAACCTGGTAAGGTCTTGGGCACTGATCTGCTCCCATTTACCTTACTGATGCTCCCCCATTCAGTGGAAAAGGAAGTGCCCAAAAAAGGTTCTAGATGACAGGGGAAAGAGCTCACGTGGCTGACAGGGCAGACATCAGTGCAAGGCTGAACTCCAGACAGAAGGATGTTAGCTTTGACAGGAGGAGAATAAGGAGGAGAATAAGCACGTGCCAGAGACAGGGAAAATGTTCAAAAGATCTCTTTCAAGTAAATAAAGAGAATCGTTGCTTTTGATTAAGCTCACAATGGGAAGAGGAAAAAGAAAAAAAAAAAAGAGAGGCAAATCTGTGCAGTACAATATGGCTTTCCCCCCACTTCTCTGCCATTTGCCATTAGTGTTTCAATCAGGGCATAGTTTGACACTTGGAGGAGTGAATCCCAACTGCAGAGTCTGAAGCATCTCTATGAGCATGACGGCAAAGAGCTTTACTGAAGAAAAGCAATTTAAAATTCCTCTTCTATACTCAGGACCTGGCACAAAAACTCACTCCCTTCAGCTGAGGTATTACCAAGACTGAGAGGTAAGAAGTGTGACAGACTTGAGGGGAGAAACAGGACACAATTTCCTTGAGTCCTGCAGGAGATGCTCTCTCACCCCCAGAAAAAGCACAGCGTTTCTTGCTGTACTACCAGCACCACAGGTGAGACAAATGCTGGGTCTTTTGCTCTAATTTCAAAATAGCCACAGTGAGCTGAAAACACAAGATGTTGTTCCCTCCTGCTGCTCAAGTCCCTCAAACTAACACAAGTTTCATACGAAACTTGCATTTGCCGCATGAACCTTGCCAGAGGGGCTTGATCGAGTCACATAAGCAAAAGAGAGTGAAAGAGAATCCACAAAGAGACTGTGCGCCGTGCAGCTGACACAGAAACAGCGCTTCAACAGTGCTATTAATACTAAAGACTAACATCTGCCCTTGTTAGAAATAAGTATTTCTGCTAATAAAAACTCCAGAAAACCTATTCCTTTATAGAAGTAAAACACACATGTTGATCTTCAACTATGTTTATAGAAAGCCGTTTAGTTTCAGTGACCCCACACAAAAAACCCAATCCGAACAATAACAACCAAAAAGCTTACCGGCACTACTGTCACTTCAGTGATCTGATGATTAACTCTATTTGACTCCCTGTTAGGGAAAAAACGATGGACAAATGAGGGCAGTGACAGGCTGGAATATACCAAGACCCGCCTCTTCGCTGCTGCTCACGCAATGCTATGTCTTGTGCCAGTGAGGTAGCTGATCGTTCTATTGCTGTGTGTGTCAATGCACTGACTCCTCTACAAAGCGATATGTGGAGAGCAAGGTGAAGTCACACAGAGTTGAGCCAAGGGGACAGGAAACCTGAACTACAGGCAGCAAACACCTGCTGTTGCAAGCCTTCCACCAAAGAGGAGGCAGAAAGGGCACAGTCCTCAGGAGTTCACCTCAACCCTTCCCATCACCATAAGGCTAGGGCCTCTGGTGTTCACTCCTACACAGGCTTCCCGCTGTATACTCCCGTAGACTTCTGGATGCATGCTCAACACTGCCCTTCATCCACTGGGGCAGGGGGGAGCCTGGCAAGCGAAGGGTTGAAGGAGGGAGACAGACCGGGCAAAGGGCTGAGAAAGCTTGAAAATTAAAAGTTCTAAAACGTACAAAATGCAACACACTGGAAAAAGTTTAAAAATTGCAAGACCAGAAAGGAGATGAAAGAAATATGGGATGAGGAGAGGGCCTGGAAGATGACGGCAGAAGACTCCAGCTTGGGAAAAAGAATGGGTCTAGTCAGCATTACTCCCTCTGGTAGCCACTCAGTTCCATCTCATCCTTGCGGCGACGGTGTGTAAAGAGAGAGCTGAAGGGGTAGAGCTTGGCTTTGGCCTGGAAGCGCTGTCCAGCAATGTTGATCTCATAGTCGCCCTGGTTGATGAAGTCAGTTGTCACCACCAGCTCTTCTCCTGTCTTCTCATCAAAGTGGTGCACAAAGCCAAGGCAGACGTGGCGCTCCAGAGTGTAGCTGTAGGCACTGCTGGTGGTCTTGCCCACGTAGCGGCCGTTGCGGAAAATGGGCTCCCCCCACCAGGGCCAGAGGTCCATATCTGTGTCATGGTCCTCAAGAATGAACATAGTAAAACGCTTGTACACACCATTCTGCTTCTGCTCTAACAATGCTTCCTGGCCAATGAACTCCATTCCCTATGGAGAGAAGGAAGCATCTGCTGATGAAAGGCATATGAACTGTAGCAGCTGCTGCTGACTGATACAAGGTAATTTAAGCTCGGTATTCATGCTTTGTCAAGACAGGTTGCTTCTATATGCAAGAAACCCAGCTCAGACAGAGGTTTTTCAGCCATGTTTATTGTTACAGATACTGAATTGTGTCAAAAGACACCAAAATATATTTTTGAAGTGGGCCTTTAAAAAAATTCATTTTAGTTTTCACCATATTACTGGCACCTGAAGTACACTATGTTTTAAAAATTAGAGGAAAACAGTAACAGCACATGAAATTTGTATCCCTAACCACTACATTTTCTTCTCTAAATTATTTGATGCAAGCAATTGCTTTGGCTGGTCCAAAGATATGAGAATGAAGAAAACAAGCAAGTGAGAGAGATGGCATCTGCCTACACAAACACGCAGGATACAGCTCCATGTTGTTCCATGTTTTAGAAAAAATAGAGAACTGCTACCCTTGGTGCCTACCCTCATACGATTTTGACTTCATCAAATGCCACTCGGTGCACAAGTTGGCTTTTGGGAAAACAGCTGGGAGAAACATGAACTCTGAGCACTTATAAGCTGAACAGCACCTCCACTCTATTGAGCTTTCTGCACATCAGCAAGGCAGAACACATTACACAGCATGGGAATGCGTGCTTGGGAAGTCGCACAAGAAGCAGGAAGACACTGTTTTTGCTACTTCTAGCACCTTTATAAAGTAGCTAGGCACTTCACATCGCTCCACCACAAAAAAGATATATCCCCTTAGATGGTAGCCTTTCAGTCTAGTAGTCTGGCTCTCCTGCCCATCCCTACTGCTTTGGCAGACCCCCCTGCAGGAGTTAGTGTCAGGTTTCCACTGTACCTTTTCCAGCTTGACCTGGAACTCACGTCCACACTCCATAGGAGTGGTGAAGGCATCCAGATCCTGGCCCCAGAATGCAAAGAACTTCTCGATGCGAAGGCTGCGGAGCGCATAATAACCAGCATTCCGAATCCCATACTTCTGTCCCATGTTCATCACCTCATTGTACACATGGAGGGCGTACTGTGAGTGAAGGGCAAAACACAGAGCTGCAGACAAACACCAGGAAAGCCAGACAGGACCTAACACACCACCACTGACGTTACTGCGTCCTGCCTCTGCAGCCCAAGAGGTCTGGCCAGTCAGAATGCAGTACAGAACATGGAAACCCTCCCGCTTGACTTCTCCCCTTGTAAAAGCAGGCATTTCATTACCCTGAGTCAACTTTGAAAACGTTACTCATTATGCATGCACAGAACTGCCTTAAGTAGCTCCAGCTACAGTGCACTCTTACCTCTATAGGGATATACAGCACAAATCCAGGTTCTCCTGTGTGAGTGATACTCATCACGCGGATTCCATTAGCATAGCCCACGCTCATCTCCTGCGGAATCAGAGGGGGTGAAAACATCCAAACTGGAACACAGTACAGAGATCCAGAAGAAGCATAATCCATCACGCAAACCACATCGACCAGCCCTTGCCCCTTCCTCACTGCAGTTTACCAATGGCCTACGTGCAAAAAATTAAAATTTAAGAATCTAAATAGTGAAACCACATTATTCAGACTTCATAATCACTTCATAACGCTCAGCAGTAACCCTTTGAACTAGGTCAGGACAAAGGCTTGTATTCTAAAGACAAGACAGAGGTTGAATACATATCTGCTTAGCCTTTTAAGCTAACAGGAGACAATGACTGCACAGTGGCTGATCCCAGCTGCCCCTCTGACTGATAGCTTCATAACTGACTACATGAAATATGCCAAGATACCAAACAGCACCCGGCCTACAGCGAGGGCAATACTTAAAACAACTTTGTATTCACCTGTATGTTTAGCAAATAGAACCTAAAGAAAAGTAGTTAAGAAAGTGAGCCTAGTGAGCTCACGACCAATTTAGCTCAGTTACTACAGTAAATATGTATGTTTGTAAATTCACCTCTGACTATCCAAAACAGAATGCTTCCCCTTCTCCCACCCATGCTTCAAAAAACCTAATAGGGTGAGGAGAAACGAAGCACAGTTACTCACCTTGCAGAAGAGAGAGGGAAAGTGTTCTGGAGTTACTGGGGCATACGACAACTCTGACAAGACATCCACAGCACGAGGACCGATCAGATTGAGAGCTAGAAAGAGGAAGGTAAGGGTATTAGGATGAGAGCAGACAGGTCTTACCGGGTCTCTGACTTGTGTATATCCTTGCCCCAATTTCTATTGCTCCTTGGGAAGTTGTGTAGCTTGTACCGTGGGCAAGTCTTAGGGTTTACCGAAATAATAGGTATGTTTACATTCAGGAATGAAGGAAAGAGTCACGGGGTTCAGTTAGGCTCTCCTGACAGTCTGCAGGAAAGAAAAGCTGTCATACAGTTTGTGCTGTCTGGAAGGAAGAGTGAATTGCTGTTTTCATCCAGCTGTTTGGAAAAGAGACTCAAGTACCACTGTAGACACCTTAAACAATTAATTGGCATGCAGCACAAAGCACCATTTGTGATTTCAGCCGGCATAACAAGGTGTGCTTTTGGTGATTTCTTACCCGTGTACTTCCAGGTCACATCTTCCACAGTCAGGTTGCTGTCGCTGGGCAAGTGATTCTTCAACCAGGCCCAGCAATGGACTTGTTGGTCAGTAGGGGAAATCATGAAGAAGCTGTAATAGAAAAATTGAAACCAGGAAACAATGAATGGACAGCCACAACATGATTCATTTCATTCTTTGCCAATGATCTACTGGAGCCATTCAGCAACTTCTAAGCTAACATGAGATCAAAACAAGCTGGTTTGCTATGACCATGAATAATATCCCTCTGGACCAACGTCATCGCATGTCACGACAGCAAATCCCAGCCTTCAAGCACCAGCCGTAGCCTGGTGACAAAAGGGAACAGAAGTACTAGGAATGGACTGCAGGCAGTTCTGAGGAACCAAGGGCGTCCCGAAAGTCACAATCATTTTGCAAAAGTATTTGCAGCTCTTTAAGACCAGTGGTTCTAGCTACTCTGTCAAAAAGAGAGCTTCGCTCTCAGAACAATTTCTCGTTTCAGCAAGAATCTTTTCATACACAATGGTGCCTATTAACAGTTTGCCAAAACAGAACTCCATTTGTTATGTGAAAATGACAGTTATTTGTAGTGCAAGTCTCTACAGTGTCTTTCATGTAATGCTGTAGCTCACAGTTATTATTGACACAGACAATACATCTCCAGAAATGATTAACAAGGGGGAAAGCTGAGGGTTTCACACAGAGTAGGATGATACTTTCAAGTAATAGATGAATACAGACAGAAGAGGAAGAGAAAGAAAAGCTGTTTCTAAGAGCTACAAAGGAGAATGCTTTTACACCAACACAGTGAAAATATACATAGAAAATGGGCTAGAGAAATAAAACCAACACTGAGCTGGACCGTGAAAAAGTTTTTAAAACGAGTAGGCTTTTATTAAATTGCCAAGAGAGCCCAAAGCAGTGAATCTAATGATTAGGTCAGGTGATCATGTTAGTTTGCATTAGAGAGCACAAACAAGAACCACGAGAGTGTGCAGAGCTGAGAATCAGAGTAACCACACTGCAACACAACTTGAAATAATCACAAAGAAGCACCTTCAGCATGGAATACCAATGAGATTAATGCCCAGGGGCCAATATGTAAACATTCTGTTTGCATTTTAAATGATTACATACATTAGTAACTCTAATGACTGCTGAAAACAATTTGCCTTTTCAACTGAGAAACATTTGAAGGCCTAACACTTTGTAGAAATCTTGTGTTTTACCTGTGGTACCAGAAAAAGGTGCATTTTTCCCAATAATGGTAAATTCAGGGGCTCCCTCTTTCATTGGGTTACTGAATTAGGAATGTATGCAAAGAATCAATACTTTTTTAAAAGCAAAAGCCTACTACAGGTGAAAAAAAATAAGCTAACGATCTTCACTAAGAGGCTCTTGGAGGTCCTAACATCAAAAGGGTGATGGACAGATAAAGACGCTGTGTGCATACATACCTGCGTTTGTTCAGTCGTGCTATGCTGCAGTCATTCTCATAACCTCCTTGCTCATTAAGCATGCCTGTATGCACAACATGCCCAACTGGCACATCCAGGTCATTTGAGAAGAGATACTGTAGACTCTCCAGTGCCTGGTCTCCTGTGGACTACATGAATTGAAAGGGAGAGAAAGTCAGACAAGCTGCCTCAGCAATATAAATTCACTGGGGCAGTTTACGATCGCCCCAAAATTTTGGCCCAAATTCTTTCAATTGATAATGACCGGGACACTGATGTCTCAAGCTTAATAGGATACAACGGTGACAGAGTGTCAAAGCTTTCAGAAAGGTCAGTCTAATTCCATTTTTAGACTAAGCTGGTATTTCTATAAACTAAGTCCTAGATGGACGAGAAAAAAACATTCTAAGCTAAATCTTGTGGCACAGTCTGGATTTGGTCATACAGCTTGGTTTCCTCTATCTATCGTCAATAGGACATAGCATTTTAGGAAAGCAGCTGATAGCAAAATAAAAGGCCGCCTTTACGAGGCTGAAGCTTTGTTACTTCCGAGGTACTTACGCTTATTTCAAACTTAGTAAAAGATGACATGTCAATGACACAAACTGCTTCCTTACAGCACTTGACTTCCGAACCCACAATGTCAAACCAGTCTGGTTTGTAAAAGGTTTTGCTCTGATCCAAATCCAGTAGATCTAATGTAAAGAAGAATCAAAGGGACAATTCATAAACTCAATGAACTAAAAGCTCACATAGACCAATATGGATGCACTAGGCAGAGGAAAATGTGATCTCACCTTTCCCAGGTGGGACAAAATATTTGACTCTCTCAAACCCGTGTTTCTCCATCCATCTAGCTCCCTGTGCATCCAGACGGTCATACAATGGTGAAGTGCGCAGCTGCCTGCCAGTCTGGAAGTCCCAACGGGGAACTTTCAGATCACAAATGAGAGCTGCAACAGTCACAAAGATCCATTACTAGGTAAAGTGATTATTTTACCTAAAATTTTCTTCCAGATTACCTATAAAGATATTTACTTATAGTTGAACCATCAATGAAATTCCCTCAAAACACTTCTGACTTTCCTTTTTTATTTTTTGGAAATCAGCAAAACTGTTTTGATCCATTTATAGCTATTCAAAATCAGAGTAACAATATGTGCACAAAACAATTACATTTGACAAATACTTGTGGTCTCAGGACAATGCTGTCAAGATAACTTAACAGAACTCTTTTTTACCCCATGAAGCCATGCTGACTAGCATTAATTATTCCTAGTTCTTCACTGACAGCATACTGTAGCAGCCTCTGATCATTTTGACAACTGTAGCAGCCTCTGATCATTCTGACAACATCAACACTAGAGCAGACAGCCCACTGCTACAAGGATCATCTAATTCACTTTCTTCAAATATTGGCAGCTCAGCTCTTTCCAATTCTAATCTTTTCGAAATGGCTCCTACACCTTTTCACCCAATATTTTATTTAGAAAAAAAAGTTACATCAATAAACATTTAATGGCCTCCCTGGTTACTACTGGGGAGTAATCACAGAATCCCAGAACGGTGGAGGTTGGAAGGGACCTCTGCAGATCACCTAGTCCAACCCCCCTGCTCAAGCAGGGTCCTCCAGAGCACATTGCCCAGGATCGCGTCCAGGCGGGTTCTGAATATCTCCAGCAAAGGAGACCTCTCTGGGCAACCCCTTCCAGTGCTCTGTCACCCTCACAGCAAAGAAGTTTTTCCTCAGGTTTAGACGGAACTTCCTCTGTTTCAGTTTATGCCCCTTGCCTCTTGTCCTGTCGCTGGGCAACACGCAGAAGAGACTGGCCCCAGCCTCTCGACACCCCCCCCCTTCACATACTTGTACCCACTGATCAGATTTCCTCTCGGTCTTCTCTTCTCCAGGCTCAACAGGCCCAGCTCTCGCAGCCTTTCCTCATAAGAGAGCTGCTCCACTCCCCACGTCACCTTCGTAGCCCTCTGCTGCACTCTCTCCTGTAGCGCCACGTCTCTCTCGGACTGGGGAGCCCAGAACTGCACACACCACTCCAGGTGAGGCCTCCCCAGGGCTGAGGACAGGGGCAGGATCACCTCCCTCCACCTGCTGGCAACACTCTGCCTCATGCACCCCAGCGTACCCTTGGCCTTCTTGGCCACAAGGCCACACTCCTGGCTCATGCTTAACTTGTTGTCCACCAGCACTCCCTCCCAGCTCCTTCTCTGCAGAGCTGCTTTCCAGCAGGTCAGCCCCCAGCCTGTACTAGTGCATGGGATTATTCCTCCCTAGGTGCAGGACCTTGCACTTGCCTTTGTGGAATTTCAGGAAGTTCCTCTCCACCCACCTCTCCAGCTCCCTCTGAATGGCAGCACAGCCTTCCAGAGTATCAGTCACTCCTCCCAGTTTAGTGTCATCAGCAAACTTGCTGAGGGTGCACTCTGTGCCTTCATCCAGGTCATTGATGAATACATTGAACAAGACTGGACCCAGGACTGACCCCTGGCGGACACCACTAGCTACAGGCCTCCAACTGGACTCTGTGCCACTGACCACAACCCTCTGAGCTCTGCCATCCAGCCAGTTCTCAATCCACAGTTCTCAATACTCAAGGATGCTTGAATACTGCTTTATAAATGTTAAGACTGTACTTAGATCTCCTTTGGTCAAAAACTACTTAAGACTGAAGACGAGATAGCCCAATAATTCTTACTGAATACTTCTACTGTTTTGCCTCATAACTAATTATTTTATTATCATTATTTGGTATTGGATTGCTATCCCTGAAAGAGTGGGTAAAGGGAAGTATGGATTAGTATGGGAACACAACACCAAAACTGAACACAGTACTTACCTTGTAAAGGCTAGAGATTCTGTAGTTATCAGAATCAAGATTTACTGAAAAGCAACTGCAGAACAATGCCAAGAGAGTACAAAGTGATTTTTTTAAGGGAGGAAGGCAAAAGCATAAGATTGTTTTGTTTCGTGGATATATCTGGTCTAAGAGCTTTACCCAACTTCTCTACCTCCACCTGAACACACCATTATTGTTCAGACTTCGCGTTCAAGTAGCTGTTCTTGTTTTGCTACTCATGGCGTACTTCACACTTTCTAACAGAAGCTCATAAAGAAGCATCCAGGTTATTTCAGGAAAGATAATCAAACAGGATGAAACTAAGTTTGGCTTTAGACAGGAACAATGACATCTAAAATCTGTCCTGCAAGGTACTTATCACAAACTTTGACGTGAGAAAGCAGAACGTGTCTACCAAGACTCCCTGAATCATTTAAAATAACTGGGTTACACATTCCTAAGTTAGACATGATGGTATTTCCACATTGCTGTGATGTTCAAAATATAAGGATGCTTGAGACAGCATAACATTCCCAGTTAAGACCGTGATACAGTTTTATTAGGCTGGAGTCCAACCCAGATATGTACAACTTTGCCCCATACCAAAGGCATAGCGCATAAATAGAAAAAAGCACTGTACCAACAGCATCTCTTTAAGATTAAAGGTTACTAAGAACGCTGCTAACACAACAAGACCGTCCTTTCCCTTTCTCCTGGGAACAGGCTGTACTGTCACAAGGGAGGGCAGGAGCAAGGAAAATGGTTCTCAGAATGACGACAGTTGACAGAGGGGAGACAGCGCAGCAAGCAGTGCTGAATTCAGAGAGACCTCACTTACGCATTACTTCCATCACACGGTGACGGAGGAACGTGCGACTACTCTGGAGAGTACCGAAGCGTTTCAAATCCAGAGGCCAGACGTTTTCTGAGGGATAACCGTTTACCATCCACTCTGCCAGGTACCTGATTGGAGAAGTAAAGAAAGACTGATATATTAGTCAATGTCTTACGAACAAGAGTCTCGTCTTGAAGCCCAGAAGCAAGGCAATTTGGGCATGAGAATTTCTTGCAATAGGGAGAGAACACAACTAACATGGTTTTCTAAACACTAGTAGAATCTGGAAGGTTTCCCTTTTATAAAACCCATCCACCAGATATCCAAATTACTAATCTCCCATTAAGATGAAACGTACAGAAAAGCAGGAAGTTAAGGACACAGGGTAAATGAAGCCAGAGACTGGACAGGTAGCCTGGCAGACACTTTGTCAAGTCCTCAGGCTACACTACAAAAGGGAGTGCTGAATATGTTTAAGTTGGAGTTAGGAGGCCGACTGCTTTGTCATTTTTCAGTACCTGGTGTAGGCTCAGCCACAAACCATCAGTGACAGCATTCATTTCAGCACGAGGTACCAGCCAAGTTATGTCTAGCTACACTTCTAGCAGTGAAGGAGGAAGGCATGCTCCAGAGCTAAAGGACAAAGGCAGCTCAGACCAAAGCAGAGCAGAAGGATCTGTTCACAGTCAGTAAACAGAAAAACAAAGGGGTTTGAAACTGATCATTAAAAGTTACATTAGCAAGCTAAGCTGCTTATCTTGAGGCTGTAGCAACACATGGACAAGTACTGTTTTACCTTCAAAAGTGATTCTAATTCTTAGAGAACCTCACTGCAAAGATTCTCTGTACTTTATTACGAGAAAGAAAAACGATGATTTCCTTCCCTGGTGAATTAAGCTATTAGACAACAGACAGAAACTAGTGTAAACAAATGCATACTGAGATCACCCATGGAAAACAAGCAGCTTGTTAAGAAGACTGTATGACAGAAGGGATGCTGGGTTGCCAAAACCAAATGACAGTCAGAGGAAGTCATGACCATTTTGCAGGCCGCTTTGCTGCTGGATGGCACTTATACGCCTGTCAAAGTATTTGCATTAACACAGGAATTGGATTTTTTGGGAAATGATTACATTCCTTGCTCACTGGCAGAGGACAATCTTTAACTATATTGGCAGCACTTTGCATGGCATATGCAGTGTTTCATTAGCATCAGGTTCACTCTGTTTTCAGAGAAATTAACTGTAGTGTCAACTTGAATGCCGTAAGGACTTCAGCCAATTAAAAAAATTAAAGGGGATCATGAAGTACAGAAGATGAGAGAATATGGGAATTTTATCTCTTTGCAGTAGATAAAAAATTAAACCAGCTAACTCCACAAGAAGCTTATCAGTCTTCAGCAGACTGCTGACCACTGAAACGTGGTTCCTAAAGAGAGGTGTACAGGATAGGAGAAAAGTCCAACACCGATTTGGAACACACACAGGAGAACATAATCAGACTATGGCAACTGTCCCCCTCCTTCACTCAAGTGGGAAACAAAAAAAAGTCTTCTTTCTGTAGCAGAGAACAGGTCTCAAATACTGACCAGAACAGTCTACATAGAAGGATCATCTGAGCAGCCTCTTTTCTTCATTAAAACCTTACTTATACGTATAAGAGTGATAAACCACTTACTTGCCTGCTCCCCCACCATATGAGATACCAGCTGAGTTCATTCCAGCCAGAACGAAGTAGCCCCGCACAGTGGGCGACTCTCCCATGATGCACCGCATATCTGGCGTGAAGGTTTCTGGGCAATTCACCAATTGCATGATCTGCAAAGCCTCCAAACCTGGCATCCTGCGCAGAAGGGCACTCAGAAGTGGCTCTGGTATCAAAGACAAACAAAAAAACCCAAAAAGTCACCGCCTTCAGTATCTAAGCATTTCAGCTATTTCACCTTCATCGTCAAACTGGACACAAACTAGTCTACATAAACCATGACAAAGAGGGCATGCTATTATCTGAACAGATGGAAATGGCTTCCATGCTTCAATACCTTCACAGGATAAACAGTGCACCAGCTGGATTGTACTAGAAGATGAGCAGACCTAATCAAACTACCCAAAACGGATCACGCAGCATATCATTAAAACAGCCATACTGATTCAGACCATGAGTTAATCTAGCCCAGTATTGTTTTCAACAGTGGAGGAGAGTGCTTAGTTTTGCTAGGGAAAACAACGGGAACAGACATCATAAATAGATGCCTCAGGAAGAATAAGAGCAGGTAAATCTATGACACTTGTCCCACATATTCTACCAATCTCCACTTACCTTCAGCTTAGAGGACTTCCTAAAAGCCTGATACAGTTTGTCTATTTAGCGACCCCTAATGGATCTCCCTTCCAAGGACTTGACCAGTCTTCCCCAAACCCACAAAAATATCTTACACCTATTGGCAAGGAGTTGCACAGGTCTACTATTTGTTATCTGAAGAATCATTTCCTTTGGCTTTGAAAGTCATGCTCAACTTGTTTGATGCCCCCTAGCTGACAAAGAAGAAGAGACAGTGAACAGGAGATCCCCAGCGACTCTATCCATCTCACTCAAGATTTCATACACCTCTGTTTACCTCCCTTTGGTCATCGCTCTTTCCCAGCCCCCTCAATCATTCCTCATCTGGAAACTACTCCAAACCTTTGATCATCTTCTTGCTGCCCTTCCTCAAGGCCCTTCTAGTAACACGATACCCTCTGAAGGTTCGGAGCCTAGAACACTACCTAGTATCTGGCAAGCCAAGGATTTCGACTTGCATAATGAGGTTTTCTATTTTGTTTTCTGTTCCTTTCATAGTAATTCTTAACATGCCATTTGCTTTAACTGAGCTGATGTCTTCATGGAGCTAATATAACCCCAAGGTCAGCTCAAAGCCCATCAGTTTGTATGCTGAAGATCGTTGCCACCCCCACCACACACACACACATGTGCATCACTTCATATTTATCCTCATTGAATTTCCTTGCCGCTTTATCACCCAGTCACGCTTGAAAGGTCCTTCTGAAAATCTTCAGTCTGATATTTGAGAGCATTAATAAGGGGATAAGCTACCTGCTTTGTTCTTCTTGTCCAGAAGTTACCTCTGCATAATACTCTAGATAGAAGCTCTCAGGATTCAGCACTAATAACACTCCTCTGCTTTAGATACAAGCACTAAGATAATCAGATTTCACATAACCTAAGAAGTTACAAACAGAAATAGTCTTTCTGACCCGATCTTTTTCTTCCCTCTCTCACGCACAGAATTCTAGAGTGAGAGCCTGAAGTTATGGATCAGCGTTAAATTTGTCCTTATATCCAGCTCAATGTTTAAACAACTTTGCAGGCTATTTTAAAAATCAAAAGGTGTTCCAACCAAAGAGATCAAAGCAGTAATACAAGAGCTCAAACCACGGAAACCGTAGCCCTAGAAAAGGATCAAATAGTGGCTGAGTAAGTTATGACTTTGCTCAACTTGCCAGTATGTTTGAATTTATAAAAGGGTAATGGCGGAATACAGCATGCAGTTGCTTCCAAAAAACTTAGGTGATCTGTGGGTGCCAGTGAGCGGTGCCTTTTTGTTTCAGTAATATCTACAAAATCAAAAGGGAAGAACTGGGAGCAGAGCTCAAGCAACTCATGAGTGAAACTGTATCTTCAAGCTAGCCTGTAGTCATCTGTAAATCTAAACATTTTCAGCATATTCCAGCACAAAAGCACATCCCATTCTGGCTGTGCCCCATCACCCTGGAGTTCAAGCTGTTTATGGTATCAGTAAGGTATGTGCCATCCAGAAAAGTAAGATAAATCAATTTAAACTGGGGAGAAGCTGCAAGAATGCAGAAAGAGCTCAGTGAAAGTCTGTTTGTGCTTAGAGTCACAGACAAAGGCATGGGCAGTCAGAAGGGAATCGGAGATCTCTGCCCCTAAATAAAAGGCAAATTTGAAGATGAGAGGGCACATGTGAACTTATGAGGCATAAGAGAGGAAAAAAAGACCAAGCTATGTTCTTTCCTACAGAAACAGCCCTCTCCTTAGAAGTACGTACAGAATATATGAATAGAATCAAATAATATAGGGAGAAGAAGACAGAACATTTGGAATATAACAAACCACCATATCGTCAATGGTGGGATGAAGTCTGGGAAGCAACACCACACAGCTCTACCCACAAAGAAACTTCCACCAGTGGAAACACACTTGGCAGTCACTGCTGAAGAGAGCTGCAGAAACAAAATACCAGGGCTACATGGCAGGTCACCAGCGCTCATCAGCAGGGTCACAAGAGGAGTTGCAGGCAGCACTGACAGTCAAAAATCAAATGCGATGGAAGAACAATGCTGGAAAGTTTATTTGGTACTTCACTGCACTAGAGGAAACAAATATATGCTGAAGGTGAGTGGGTGTTCTTAAATGCTACACAGATGTTGCTGCAGTCCTTGGTAAAGGGGTTACTGACAAACGAAGAGATAAATGAATTTGAAAGAACATTCATCTTTCCCACACCTTTCAGATAAAGGCAGACACACATGCTAACTGGTCTGTAACAGCCTGCCTGTTGCTAACTCTGCCTTCTGCTGAAGCCACATGTTTCACTGCAGTGGTTCTTTTCCCTCTGACATACCAAAATGATCCCAGTCTTCCTGGAGGTGCTGAATCTCCAGCTGGTTCCGTCCCTCTGTGAAGAGAGGTTTGGGGTTTTTCTCAAAGCCTCCTGAGAGGATGCCACCTTGCCAGTTGCGTATGTAGATCCTGCCATCTGGGTCTACAATAGCTGGGGAGGAAAGAAAAGATGTGCAAAGGGAATTGAGAGAGGGATAAATACCTCAGACCACAGTTGCACAAACACTGTGTTGAGATCTGGTGATAGACTGGGCCAAACTAGCAGCCATGGGAAGGGATAGTCTCAGTTCCCCAGCCCCCCACTTCCACATCAGTTCTGGTTCTCATGTCACCCTCTAGTGAGCCAGTTTAGGTTACTAAACCAGCATTAACTCCCTTCACAACCATGCACGTTAACTTTCGGGCAGCACAGTAAGTGGGATTGAATCTAAAGAGCACTAAAGCCAGCAGGACAGTGTTACCAGGAGCAGGAGGACACAAAAGGGAGTCATAATCCATCTGGCGCCAAGAAGTTGTTATACTGGCTTAGCTCCACTGGAGCTGCACCCAAGACCAGACCGTCCACCAACAGAAGTCTGTCCTCCCCCTCTTTTTCTTCTTTTGTTAAGAACAGCTAATTTTAATGGCCACGCGTCACTGATCCAGTCTGCTGCTGCAGGGATACCAGCACAAAGAAAGCGGGCAGCACTGGGGTAAGGAAAAGCAGCCAGGTGAGGATGGCTTCTTTCAGTGGTAGTGTCAACTTGGAAGCATTTTTGAAATTCCACCTGATATGTTCCATTTTAGCTTTTCCACATACAGAAAAGTTGATTTTTTTTTTTTTTAATTTACACAATCAAGTAAAGCAAAGCACTCAGAGCCTCTGGTCAGAGAGCTGAATTCCCTGGAGAGCATAAACATTACTCCCCAGAAGTAGCAGCTCTTGCTAAAGACTGAGAGTGAATAAGCAAAGCTTTCCACTTCCCAATCACAGTTTTCAAGCACAAGGGCTTTTCTTTAAGAAAGCCAAAAGCCAGAACATGGGGGAGGAGGAGCAATTACCTCAAGTGCTTTGGTTGCCCCTACAGCTCAAAGACATGTAAATGCCATTGTAAAGCCTTAGCTTCAGTTGGAGGAAAGGAATAGATGGGCCGTTTGGGGACAGCAGCCTGAAAGGAAAACATAGTGGCAAGGCTAGCACCCTCTCTCCAGCCGACAAAAGCAACAATCCAAGTCTCAAACACACTGGCTTGTCAAGCTAGAGTTAAGGTCATTCTCCTCCCTAAACTGACAAACTCTGAAAATCTCAATTCCTGCAGTAAAAGTTTTCCCACGAATAAGGAGAGAGATTCTTCCTACCACTGAAAGAGGACACTAAGAGCAAGTCAGCTGGAATGTTCTTCACAATCCCAATTGAGCTGAGAACTGATAGCCCTTAGTTACGTTTTTTTGTCATAATACACCTACCTCCTCTTGGAAAGGCAGATATAATTCATCAAGAAAAGTGGAATAGAGCTCAAGAATCCTTACTTGGTACGCTGCTTGCTAGAGGTTCCTTCAAAGGATACGTCAGGAGGTAGAAGTGTTCACAGGCATGGACTGGGATACTGACTTGTTCCTCCCCAGAGTGACCCAACTCATAGGCCCACTGAAACAAAAAGAGAGGAAGGAAAAAAAAAAAAGCATGTTAGAATGCACAAAGAAAGAAAACTAACTCAATTACTCAATTTAAAAAGGCAGAAAGAAAGCAAGTAAACAGATCACCTCTGTGGTTTCACTTTCATAAAAGACCAAATCGGATTTGGTTCAGTCCCTTAAACCTCAAACAGAAGAAGATTTCTGCTGCTTTCTTAGAATTTGAACTGTTTGGGACAAAAATTGTTTTTCTGTTCGTCATATAACATTTAGAAAAGCAAGGCCCTGACTCAAGACTAGGAAACATCAACTTACAATACAAAAGCAAATAAGATTTATACAGCAATGTCAACACTACACTCAGCCTCTAAAAGCATAATAGACAAGATTTAGGTGCCTGTACCGCTAAGACCCCATATTAACTAGACAGCCAGTTGCAAGCTGAGAAACAGCAATTGTCAGATTTCACAGCAGAGAAGTAACGATATTTAAAAAAAAAAAAAAGAAGAAGAAAAAAAAGCTTCCTGCAGTGGGATGAAGGATAGGGAGAGACTGAACTGTCTCACTATGGGCTAAAGCAAAATCCTTCAAGGCAGAAGCATGCGTCCCTCCCAGGAGGGAGGACAAAGGCAGAGCTGCACCACCAAACTGCAGGGTGCTCCTCAGCAGGTTAACATCCACTCTATGATGCCAAGCAAACGGCAAGCGCTTGCTTTCCTCCTCTACACCCCTGCTGCTCAAAGAAGCTAAATAACACGACTTTGATGTACTTCAATAAACCAAGCCAAAGCACAAACAGTACAAAAAAAAAAATCCACTCTGAAGAACGTGCACGTGTTCTTTCCTTTTTTTTAATTACAGAAAATTTGCTCGAATCCAGTACCTATGCAGCAATAACTCAGTTCTACTAATTAGAGCAACGCTTCTTCAGAGAGAGGAAAAGAGACAACACTAAAACCGTTTGTGGCTACTCCAAGAATTAATTCAGACTGCAACATGCTGGCAGTCCTGTGGGAGGACTACTATTGTCCTTTTGGTAGTCTGATCTACAAATGGACATTTTTCTGTTCTGTGGAGCAAACAGTTTTGGCTTGTAGTTTGCCGAGTCTGACGGAAAGAAAGTGGCTTTATAATTTTTTTCTGGAGTTCTCTGAAAGATCTCCTTTAATAATACAGAAGACTCTAAACCAAAGGGAAAAAAGAAAGAAAAATGTTAATAATCCTACCTGGCCAGCACAGTTGACAAAGTACTGGCATGAAATCTGTCCTCTGTCAGTCTCTACTCCAGTCACGCGACCCTTCTGGACCAAGACATGACTGACACTTGTCCGTTCATGAATCTGGACGCCTGAGAAGACATAAGAAAGTCAGCGTACCACCAGCTTAGATCCAATTTAAAAGCTTATATTCTCCTTAAGACAAAATTTTTACGCTTGACCCGATAATTCCCAAGTGAAACCCTGCCATTTGTAAAGCAGCATACACGTAACTTGTACGGGCATAATTGAAAGCCTTAGGGTGTGAAGAGTTACAGTGTTCTTTCCCATGTGACATTGGGTGATAAATACACCCCAGTATCAACAACATGACAAAAAGATCTCTAAGCTATAGACTTCCTTCAACAAGAATTCCTTTATGCCACAAAGTCTGAGGCTTCAGGTGGCAAGACTGCTTGCTCTTTTATGGGAAGTCAGTCATTTTGTGAAAAAATCGTTTAACAGTATTCAGAAAAAAGCAGTACTAAAAGACCATTACTTGCCAACACAAAACCTAGCCAACAAAAAAAGCTTTGCAACATTTTAGCCTCCAAATATTTATTCCTCCCTCAGAAGGGCATCAAGTCATAAAAGCCCCAAAGCCCAACAAAAAGCACATAAGCTGAGTAACACTTTAAGAGCAAGAAAAGCAACTGGTTTTCAGCCCCAAGAGTCCCTATGCAGGAAATAGTACGGCTATGCTCTATATGCCTGTCTCCACTGCTGACTCTACCTAACTTCCTCCAAGGTAGCTTCTTCCAATCTGACAGATTGTCATGCTTAATGAGCCTAATCCCTGCCACTGAATCTACGCTCTACTCCACTTTTAATCCTCTCCAATCCTCTCCAAATTTGCCAGTGTTGTCCAAACAGCATTTACCACTTCACTTCCAAACCCACTGAAGGCATATGTGCCCAATGAAATATTCAACAAGAGTCTCATGCCTTTTGCTTTGTAGATAACTAAACTATTCTGATGTGAAATTTTGACTAAGGTCCTATTAAGGATTGTATTTATGACAAAACAGCGTGTGTTTATTCAAAAAAACATGTAAGCAATGAGTACAGTAAACTGGTGCTTGATCCATCAAAGCAGACTGAGAATGTCAAGGAAAAAAAAAAAAACAGCCTGGCTTTTGTTCGAGGAAAAAAATGAGTTTTAAAGAATATGAACCTTACAGAAATAACCAAGTTTTGGTCTTCGATGCCCAGTTACAGCCCCAAAACCAATGGCACCCTCATGCAGAAAATTATATTCTTTTCTGGAAACAAGGCACCTATCACGCAGGAGAGCATTCTATAGATTTAAAAAAAGACCTCATACCATTCCGCGAGGCAGCAGTTGCCAGAGCCAGACTCACATCGGCAGATGACACGAGTGCATCTTCTGGCACATACATGGCCCCCACAAGGTCGTGAATGTTGATAAGTGGGTGGAGCTGTGCCACTTGCTTTGGGGTGATAATTTCGCAAGGTATTCCCATTACACTGCCACAGAACACAAGGAAAATGCTGTCACTAGTCCTGCAGGAGAGCTGGTGCAAAGTCGAGATCAGGTATATTTCCTGCTTATACGTACTTCAGCGATGAAGCAATGCGTTTCAGAGAGATTAGTCGATCCTGAGTCTGAGCCAGTGAAATAGAGCCTGTCTTCATGTACCCTATGACAATGACCAAAGATAAGTCAGATTAAAATAATTCAGAGATCCTGTCCCAATCTCAGACCCATTGCTTTAGACCCATTGCTTCCATTACGCAGGAGCCAGGGAAACCCAGATCCCTGCGTTCACTCATCAACTAGTAATCAACAACAACTTTAGTCAACATTTCAAAAAGGCAACTTAATTTTGACTTATGTTCTAACCCTCCATTGCACTACCTTTGTTTGTGTTTATAAAAACAATTAAACTGCACATGTGCTACCAATTAAAAGAGAAGAGAGGTTACTGACAAAAAGAGAAAATGTCATCTAATAACTACTCAATCAGAAGAAAACCTTAAGAACTAAAAGCATGACATGTTGTGGCAACTCCACCAGCTGCAATAGATTATACTGACCTCTAAATACTAACCTTAATTACAGGCACAGTTATTAACCTGTGGTGAGTTTGACACATATCACAAGTCCCTGTAACCAGGAAACTATCAGTGCTGAAGTTCTCCATATCAGGTGTGTGCCTCAGCATTTTGGCCAGAGTGAGAGGGAGGACTTCAACACAATGTTTCCTTGAGGTTTCCAGGAGTGAGACTAGGGTATAGTAACTTGCTTTGCCTATGTTTAGCACTTCTGTTAACCCTTTTGGTTTTCTGACAAGTGAATTGGTGCAGAAACTGGGTCATTTGCTCCAGTCTCTGCAGTACACTTTTTAGTCTCCTTGAAAAAATTCATCTACCTTTGTCCACCTTACAAACAACAGAAAAAGATGATCACAGTTTGCAAGTAATCTGCCTTCAGTCTGAGCATCTGATACCCTTCCTCCCATTCTTCCAACCACATCAGTAACGTTCCTTTGCATCTGATTCAGGCTAAGTATATCATCTTGGAACAGGAACTACCAACTCTAAGACAGTGTAAAATTACATTATTTCAGTATTAACGCTTCGATTGAACTTCACAAAGATTCCTCAATTACACAAAGATTACACTTTCAGTACCTGTTTTTATTCCCGTCTCTTGCTCCAGTTGCTGATACAGCTTGTTGGAATAGTCTGCCATCTTGAGCTCTATGGACACTGGCCTGGCTGTGCTCACAATGCCAGCACAAAATCGAGTAGTCCCAGCAGCCAATCTGCAAGAGAAGTTGCAAAGAAGGCCTCATCTGGCTAACGTGGGGAAGCAAACAAACCTCCCCAAGGATGCTGCTCCAGCAGCTCTACTGACGGCACAAGCCAAACAACAACCTCTCCCTCAAAGGTATGAGGCCAAAAACTGTCCCTGAAGCAGACAGCGTTGTTCTCAGGTGGCAGGAGCTTACACAAAGCATCATGGATCAAGAATCTTCTCCCTCTGGAATACACTATTAGCCACAGATACCATAATCAGATGCTTGCACTCCCAGATAAAGGTGAAATCTTTCACGCATTCCTGACACCCAGCTTAGTTTTAGCTGTATATGGGAAAGAGACTTTTTCTTTGTTACAGATAAAAGCAGCTCTCCCGTAGCTTCGTATTTTGCTGTGGACACATCTCCCCTTTACTAACCTAGCCCAGGGCGTTTTTGTGGTGCAGGCACAGATCCACAGCAGCACAACGCTACAAGCAAGACAGCTCTTCTCCTTGTGATCTTGGGGCTAGCACAGATCTCCTGAATCGGTTATGCGAGCATCCCACTGCACTGAACAGTACAGACAACTTCTCAGGTGCAAACTGCAAAAAGCTCCCCTGTTAAAATCCAAAGTGTGACAATCTGCCTGGGAGTCCACCACAGAAGCATGAAACCCTGTAACTGCACCTACTTAATACAGAGATGGAAATTCACAGCCAGGAGTACATAAATAAGCCCCTCTGAGAATTAACAAGTTGAAAAGCAGTCACCTCTAGCAAATTTCAGATACCTGTTTACTACGGCAATAAAACCCTAACTCTTTTCAAGCTACAGCAAGAGAGACTTTGAGTTAGCTGTGAAGCATCCCATTGTGCCATGGAGTAACACAAAGCACAAAGGCCAAGCTACATGAGAGGGGCTTTGGAAAACAATATAGCCTCACATAAACTGCATCAAGTAGAATTGCTAGCATACAGATAAACTCTTCAGAGACCAAATTACGGTGATAAGAGTTTAACACACTAATAAACTCTACCCTCTACTTGAAAGAAAATTATTACAAGCAAGCAACACAAAATATATAAAGAATCACGGGCCTGGAACAAAAGTTGTATGTTGTACTCAAGCATAATCCAAGTTCCTTTGGGAAAAAAAGAATGAAGGCAGCCGTTTTCTCCCTCTATTTGCTGCTATTTTAATTCATGTGTTTAATTCCTTCTCCAGTCATCCAATTCAGTCACAAAAGTACTATATCATTACTTCTTTTACGCAGTAAGGTGTCAGTTGAGACTAGCTGGGACCATTAGCGAATACCACTGGGAGAGCAGCATGTAAGCAGACAGAGATGCTGAAACCCAGGACACCTAGATTCTAAGATGGCAGCTGAGCCTTTGACAATTCTGTTTAAAATTGCTTAGACTTGTCTAAAGCATGACTTAAGCTTGGTGCTAACTTTGCCTTAACTATAGTAGGGGTTAAAAACACATTAGCGTATTGACTAACACGCACTTAACGATCACCCTTCAAGACCGGGCCTCTCCCTTGCTCAGTCTCCCCTAACCGCAAATTTATGCGACACAAAGGAGATCAATAAACAAAGAATGCCATTAATTAAGCACAAATATCCAAGTACCTACCAGTAAAATGAAGTAACTAAAAGAAGGAAAAAGGGTATTCCCACCTTTGTCCATACTGCAAGCTAAATACCACTATGTACAGTCAAATGATGCCACTGCTTAACCAGTTTAGTCAACTTTGCCTCTCAGGACAGGTCTGTCACATGGGAGAAACTTAAAAACTGTAAGTGGGATGATGCAGGGCTAGGTGCAACCTCTAGAACGCTTTTGGTTTAGCTCACTTCTGTAATTTTACACAGAAAAGTTTCTATCATAAGCTCAAGCCTACCTGATTGTTTCTTCTTCCAAAGTGGGATTTCTTTCGAATGGAAATAAACTTGGGTTTCTTTGGGTCTTACATCTCTGCTGGCCCTCTTACTGTGCAACAATTACCATGAGACAGATGCACCTATTTCTTTTCTCTCATTAAACTGCCCTTAAACGCTTGTCTATCAAACTATGTGGTGAAGAGCTGCTGCAAAGATAGAAGACCTACCAAAAACTCTCTGCAGCAGAAACAAGTGAAGACAAGACAATTAGACTGAGGCATAGCTCTCACTCAACCTGCTTCCACAGCACTTCCAAGCCATCTTACCTGTTGCTAGAGCAATCCTGTACTTTCCCGTTTGCTAGACAAACCTTTGACAACATTACTTTTGGTCTAGCATCTGCACATTCTTACAGAAACTCAGCACAAGAATCAGTTGCGAAAAGTGCTCTTTTTCCTATGTCCTTAAGTCAGTCACAACAGAAACAGTGGAAGCATGGTTAACCATGCGTACCATAATTTAATGCTAAAGGTTTGGTTAACGCAAGATTGTTCTTCTTCCTCGAGCATGCACATAGACTGAGCTTGTGCAGCATGTAACTCAATTAAGAGCTATAATGGGGTATTCATGCCCCAACCTAAACCAGTAAGGACTACATTCCCTCACAAATGGAGTTTAGCAGCTAATTTCACTCAGAAACACACTGCTTACAAGGTCTCAGAGAAGACTACCCAATTTCCTGTCTTTGCAACTGTGAAGACCTTGACGCTCCCTGCTTCCCAGCAATGCAAAGTCAGGAAGCCACAGCTAATTACTCTTGAAAGCAGCATCAGGTGGGAAGCTCTGAGCTAGAAGGTAAAAATTCTCGGTCCAGCATGTATTTAGGGTGGTGGAAGCTGCTGTGGTAAACACCTCCTGAAAGCCCCAAACACAAGTTAGCACGATATCTCACGCCAAAGTCCCCAGACTCCTTAACGAAAACACCAAGGATTCACTTCTGAAGCAGAAATCTAGACAACAGGAAAAGGCTAGACAGCAAACTTGAAACAGGACCTGTGTACTCTGGCACAGACTTCAGATCCAACTTGCCAAAGAGTATACAAAGTCGTTTTTCTACCTTGTATTCAACCAAATTGTAACGGGCTTAACTGTTTTACAGAGAGGCACTAAATCCCTCTAATAGAGAAACTCTAGATAATCAAAGCTTTTAACCAGTTTACAGGGCTATGGTTAGGTTGTTTCTACAGTATAACCTCCACATCTCCTGCAATCTCTTTGAAGTCTTGCTAGTGGTGTCACATTTCATTTACCTATCCCAGCCCAGTTATAGAGAAGGTCACTAGGGGCTGCATGGTGTCTACAGATTTTTAGGTCTTCTAACTTCATTATAAATGTTTTGTTAAAATGTTCCATCTTTGCAAGCTGTGTATGTTTATTTTTATTTTTGGCACACTCAACACCTGTGAGTAAAACACAGACAAACTTCAGTCATATCACTCTTGGGCTACTCCTAATGCCAGTATGTTTCTCATAGGGCAAAAGCATGTAAGCTGTTCTAATTCTTACAGCTCAAATTCTTACATCAGGCAGGCCTGAATGTAAATCTAAACCTCCTCCAAACGTATACACACATTAAAAAGTGCAAGTAATTTTGCCTGTCCTGTTATTTCCCACGTCTACACGCACGTACCTTCAACATTCACGGCTGGGAGTCTGCAGAGGAAAGTCTAGTAAACGAAAATACCTTATACTCTGAGTCTCTTTACTTAGGAGTCAGTTGAGAAGTTAGCAAGATCATAATGCTGGTTGAGTAGAAGCTTAGTGGGAATGCGAAAGCTCAGATTTCAGGTCTTTTTAGTTTGTGACCTCTTGTCTCATTTGGTGGAGGGGAGGGAAAAGGGAGCGACAGGATTTTTTAGAAGCAACCTTTATGGCTTCATCATACAAGGGATAGCCTTTACCTTGCAAGACTGCCCTGTGCGTGGCAGGTCTGCCCTGTGCGTGTGAAGAAGCAGTAAGTCTCATTACTAATGTTCAGTAAAAGCCTATTCCGTGGCTCCAATACCAGATAACAGGTAAAAATAACACATTACGTAAGATGCTGCTATACATGCACGTTCTATCTGTTTATTTCTGTGAGGAGAAAACCTTAATCCTTACCTGCCCTGCTCAAGTAAGACTATATCCTTCCAACCCAGCTTGGAAAGATGATATGCCACTGATGTGCCCATGATTCCACCACCACAGATGACAACCTGCGCCTGTGCTGGCAAGGAAAGTGGGTGAGGTTCTGCTGTACTTGAGGTACTTCGCCGGGAGCACGTCGTCATTCTTCTCCATCTTGGGTTAGCTGCCCGCCACCGGACATCTGACAGTAATCGGAGAAACATCCTGGCAGCTTTTGGTCAGTTTTCTTAAAGTACCACCCTAGATGCGTTCAGACGTTAGCTCAGTTCCCCTCCTTCTAGGAAGGAAAGACGAGAATCACATGTCTGCTTGTCTTATTATATACAAGGTTGGCAGTGGCAAATATCACATGGTGTACTGGGTATAAGCGAACATGTGAACGCTGATGAGTAAACAAACAGGACAGCAGTTATCTAGTCCCCGGGGAACAGTACTGCTTTTAAAATGTAAACTTCGATAGATCAAGTAATGGATATAGAGTATCACACCTTTATTTTTGATGGCAGCACAACTTGACAATGACCAAAGAACAAGACGAGAGCTGAAAAAAAAGGAGCAAGAATGCTCTCATACCAATAACAGGTAGATTAGAGAGGGTCAATGAGCACACACAGAGCATACACTGGAATTCGTCACGGACTCTCTTTAAAAGGCTAAGGTGAACAGGGAGCAAAGAAGCGCGACGTTAACGGTGCGATCTCAGCAGCGAGGGCAAGGGGCTGGAGAGGCGCTTTCCGACAGCGCTGGTTTCGCAAGATGCTACCCAGGGACTCCTAGCCCGCCAAGAGCGTACAGCTGACAGCAGTCAAAGCCGGAATTTGGCAGCCAAAATCCCGTTTCTCCTCTTCTCCAGGCTACCGCTGTCCCCCGCGCGTATCCAGCGCTCGGCTCCTGCCCCCGGCGCCCCGCTCCAACCCTCCGCGTTCAGAGAGAAACGGCCTCGGACGAGCGCCCGCGGGCAGGGGGCAGCG